CAATTAAGTATTGTACATGCAATTTTTCAACACTCTAAAATAAGGTAACATAGATTTTATGTAGAACGTGTATAATTATGTATAATTTTGTATATACAGGATGAAGATAGCGAACCCTACACAATTGGCAACTGTTTGACCTGTCAATGCACATTCTTGCCAAGATTGGATGCATGGGCTGAGGAATGTGAGGAAGGTTGTGTACTCAGTGATACAGATTGTTCAGAGGTAACATTAATGGTGTTTAGAATAAGTACTGCACAAATAAAGCAAGAAAAATTTGGAATCGAGTAAAATTTTTAGAATGCATAATTAGTGGTACAGTTGCTTGACATACGACATTACATTGGTAATGACCTTCTTTATTCTGTCTTTTAACAGGCTTTTTTATTTATAAGTAGCCCATGGCTTTTCATTGCTTCAAGCTTTTATAGTCATTAAATAGAGCAGACTTTGAAAATGATACATAACCATGTCCTTGATCAACATATGACACGCATTCTCTTTCCTGTATTTCATATTACTTGTCTTTGTTTTTGTAGGGAGAACGTGTTGAAAATACTGAGGATGGATGCTGCGAGTGTGCTCCGTTTATAACAACAACCACCACAATTACACCAGAGACTACTACAAGTAGGTAGCATTTCAGTACTTCAGTAGTCACCTTAAAAATGTTAAACTGGGCACTCACTGCAAACGACTGCTGTTAGCCTACACGATACTATGAAGAACACAATGTGACAATGCGCGCTCAACGGATTGTTTTTAATGACGATCCGTTCAGACTGCTACCGACAATCAGCAGATGGCATTGCATTTTTCTGTCGCTCAAAAGGAGTGGAGTTGGATTTGTCGTGTGAAGGTCGTACTACGCAGTTATTTTATTAATAAATGTTATTTTCGTACCCCAGAAGCTAACAACATCACTGCTGATTTGTTTAGTCTATTTGTTGAATACTCACGTGAATAAACCGATAAGTTAATTAGTGTATATTGATTGAATTGATAGGCCTAAAGTGTGGGAATTTTTATGTGTGGTGCTTGATGTTGGTTTTTTTTTTTGTATATATATTTATATTTATTCCTATTGTTGCATTTTGAGTATTTTATACCAAATAAATAAATAAAATATAATAAAAGTGCAAGATTAGCACTGGCAAACGGTAGAGAACGAGGTCAATCACTACAGAAAAGGTACAAACATAGAGAGATGGGCGAAGAACTGAATAAGCAACCGAGGCATCAGAGGCAAGAACATCTTTCAAGCAGATGGAGAATGTTATTTCTGAACACAATCATACCACTCAGAGGACTTCCGGTAGTGGGGACACGTGGGAACTATGACCAGACGCCACAGAACCACAAACCCATGCCTATAGACAGGAAGCGGAGTATGAAGTCTATTTCGTGAATACTTACCTGGATAACCGACTAATTGCCATTGTTCCCAAAACGGAACACCCTTTTGAAAAAAAAAAATGGAACAGTCCGACCGAAGACGCCACGTGCGAACCGTCTCCCTAACAAACGTCCTCATTCCCTTTTCGACGTTCTTCGAAGTCGGGATACATCTAGCCTTTGAAAATTACTAGCAGGACCTTTCAAGCAATTCTGTTCTCCTTGGATTTATTTTTGCTTTGGATTTATTTTTGCCTTGGATTTATTTTCAACTTGTTGTTGACAAGATATCCTTTTTATTGTAGTCTCGATCGGCATGTCCGCTCGCAAGTTTTAGGCGAATCAACGAAACCAGCGCCAGATCTAGCGAAGGGGAAGGGCCCGCCGAACGCAAAGCCGACGAACCCTCCAGCGATAGAGGTGAGTCATCCGGCGCCGCTACAACCCCCGACGCAACTGGTAGCGAACCCTGAGGTCGAGTGGCAAACTGAGCTGCCGCAAACTTAGTCGGGGGCCAGCACGCACACATGAGCGACACAACGGGCACTCCGAGTGCCGGACGAGCTTAACACTCGGTTTGGGGCCCCCACACGCCGAGCACAAAGACCCCTGCTTGCCCGCTTTATCTTGCAGGGCCATTTTGAGAGAAAGAGAAGAACGATAAACTCATGCATTATCAACATCATTCTTAACAACATTTTCCTGATGACAGTCAGAGCAATCTCACCGAAAGATCGAGACAACCAGCGGTTTTACCTCAAAAACCATATTTTTACACATGGTGTACCAAAAGATTAATAATTTTGTTATTGATACTCACTATGTAAACCATCAATATTTTAACATCGTTCCTGATTTCTTTTATCTTGTGTACATACACATTTTTTCATCTGATTATTGAAAAGGCTTCTGGAATTACAGTGTGTATATACTGTCTCTTATACACATCTAGATGTGTATAAGAGACAGCCTAAACCTCACTGTTTGAGTTAAGCCATTCATACTTTGTACTTATTGTTTTGACCACTGCTCAGGCTATTGTTGTGCTTCCACAGGCACTGATCTTATATTCACTGTGGGCAAACTTTCTATTACTTAGGCCTAGCTCGCATTTTTAGTATACATTTTGATTGTAATTTGCAATGTACTTAGCTTCCCGTTTATTGAATAATCAATAAACTTCAATCACTATGCTTACTTACACTAGGTCTGAATTACTTAAGCTTAAAAAATCAAGACTGACAATTAAATGCCAATCATATTGATTTATCTAATCTCAAGGAATTAGGGATATTTCACTATCGTATAGACGAGGTGGGAAACACACATTTCAAGTAGCCCAAATGCCACTCCATTGCAGACACCCAAATTACGGTGTGGAAAGGTGTAGTCGGCCCCCACACAAGAATTTATTGCGTATAACTCCAACTGTAGAACTGGGAATAAGGAATTAAAGCCCAACAGAAAGAAGTTACATAGCTGGAAAGCAGGCCAAATTAACATCCAGTCCTGTTCTGATGGTTTTAGATTATGTGGTATGATAAAGGAATTTAAGTCCGCCAATATTGACATTATCTGCACACAGGAAATGAGGAGACTGGGAGAGGGCTCAATCTACCATGATGGTTATAATATCTTCTCATGTGGCATGGAAATTAGATGACTGTGTGGTGTTGGAATAGCTGTTAGGAAACATCCTGATGTAATAATCGATGGAATATTTCAGCTCAACTAATGGCAATGGATCTGACAATGAAGGGCTTTAAAATCAGTAGTTTCTGCATACACACCTACAGAATATAATCCAATCTCAGTAAAAAATCTTTCTACAGAGAGTTGAATAAAGTTTGTGAGGCTGGGAAAACAAAAACAGAAAGCTGTTCATTCAAGGAGACTTCAACGCAACATCTTCCTTGTGTACTAACATTCAAGTTTCAACGGTGATTATAAACAAATACGGAATGGACTCCTACTCGACTTTTTTTTCAAATATAGGCTGTCAATATTGAACACATGGTTCTCACATCTTCTCCACAGAATCACTTGGCATAGACCTGATGGTTTCACAAATAAAGTATATGATCTTAGTTTGAAGGGCTCCTGGCTTAGGCGCTTTGTGATAGGGTGAGAAACTCATATTTTACATCTGATCATAGACTGGTTGTCACTAAATTCACAACACCTGCTATTAAAGCAGCTAGATCAACTTAAGCTACGATAAAATGCACATCCAAACCTAATATCAATGCACTTAGAGATCACACTATAAGAGAACAGGTAATTGATCAAATAAAAAACTCACTGGCTCATAACAGCAGCAATCCACTCTGTCTTGAAGAAAAGCATGATATCATCATCTCATCTCTTAACAGTGCTTTGCCACAACTTAAACATAATCACATCATTCCCGAAGACTATTATGATGGCAATTTTAAAGGGCTGCTATCAGAGAAAACAGACTAGAAGTCAAAAGCAATCCCAGCAAAACATCACTATTCTTAAGGAACTGAACAAACAAATAAAGCATGCTTCACGTAAAATGAAGAATAAGATGTTAGAAGATAAGTCAAGAGATCTAAGCGAAGCCAAGGGAAATAGACAAATAGCTGCACTCTGGAGGGCAAAAAAACCACTCCAAAATCACCAAAACAAAACCAAAAGCTATACATTGTCAAAAACTTGCAGAACACTTCAAACTCCATTTAAGCGCTAATCATTCACATCTTTGTCTGCCCGCAGAGATTGAAAATCCACCAATATACATAACATCTTCCATGAACATACACCTATCATTAATAATCAACCACCCACACTAGAAGAAATTTTATCAGCAATTAAGGATCTGAAGAAAGGGAAAACAACTCTGGACATTGAAGCCGATCTTATCAAAATAGCTGCAAATATTCCCGAATTTCAGGCTGCCATGGTTGACTGCTTTCAAGAAATATAGGAATCCAGAAGGACTCCACCTCAATGGAGCCTAAGTCAAATAGCACTCATATGGAAGAGGAAAGAGGGTATGCAAGATCCAAAGCAGTATCGTGGAATATCTGTGGGGCGAAGATAACTCTATTTTATGAGTATCAACTTCCACCTACACAATTTGGATTCAGGATAGGTAATGGATGCAATGATGGGATATACGCACTAAAGCAGCTTCAGGAAATTTCATATCGCTCAAAGCGTAAATAGTTCAGCTGCTACATCGATTTAACAGCAGCGTTTGACCATGTCAACAGGTCCTTTTTATTCGAAAGTATCTGTAAAAGACTGCCTCCTTCTGCTGACACAACAAACCTTGACATCATAGAAAGCCTCTACCACGATACAAAATCTTACCTTAATGGAGATAACCCATAGAAGAACCAATCTTCCACTTCAAGTGGGGTCAGACAAGGTGGCAACGAGGGACCAAATCTGTTCAATCTATGTCAAGACTATATCATCCAGTTTTGGAAATCCTGATGCATCGATGCACAAGCTGAACAACTTTCAATTCAATACTGTATTCCTGCTGGAGAAACCAACAGAGAACAAAGGAGTAAAGCAAGATTTGTAGGTCAATATGACCATCCAGATACTGGATATGCAGATGATTTAGCTATTTACTCCTGGTCTAATGAAAACCTCCAAATCATCATCTTAACTGAAGTTTTTACCAAGTATGGTCTAAAAATCAAAACGGAAACAATGATCTGGAACTGGGATGAGGCTGTCGATGGAAAATACCCTACAAGCATTCTGAAAATCAAGGATTCTCCTGTAAGAAATTCAAAATGCTTTAAATACCTAGGAGTATGGAACAGTTCTGATGAAATCCACATTGGTATCAAAGAAATGCAGCATCACATCTCCAGTGGACATGCTCATTTTTCAGAACACCTGCAACTATTTACGAACAAGAACATTCCTCTCCAATTGAGAATATGCTTCATGGACTCCTTTGTTCAAACTGAACTTGATAAAATTGAGTCAACATACTACTACATTCTACGTTGTATGGTACCTAATGGATTCAAAAGGAAAAACCCTCCTTTACATCAACAACAGGACAACACAAATTTTGATTGGGGCTATGTTATCAATAATAATCTCTTGTATTCAATGACCGGGGCCAAGACAATATGTGACTTCTACCATAAACAGCAAACAAAGTGGATTGCACATGTCATAAGGTACGAAAATGTTCACCCTTGCAAAATACTGTACTTACATTTCATACCATAAAGAACAAGAGAAAAGGCAGTGCTAGATAGTGCAGTCAAAATATCCAGAATCGCCTGTGATCAGTTCATCAGATATTAATTTGTATATTTATGGTTGATATGAAATATCTCGACAGTCTTTTCATATTTTCATTTTTTTTTTTTTTTTTTTGACTTAGGATCGTGTAGTGAAATGCCAACACTGTTCGAGTGCCTGTGAGTGTCATAGCCAGCAAAACTCTGTCTGGCTCCTTTACTTGGTTATAATAGTTTCTATTTTACTTCCAGCCTACTGCAGACATGTCGATAGCCACAATCGCTTTATTTATTTTTTGTCTACATTTTCGGAGATGTCAACTAAGGTTTTCTTGGTCAATGACGACCACATGTTCTGCATTGCAGAATGGTCAATAGTAATAATAATATTAATTATTGATTTATATATAATTTGAAATATCTAATAAAATTTGATTTTTTTTTTTGACAGCTGTGACAGTTTCAACAACTGCAACACCAATAACATCTCGATTCCCGAGTACCACACCTACTATCCCCGTGATAACAACAACTCGGCCACCAACTACCACAACTGAGACAACAACCACAGTTATATCAACTACACCAACGCCCACTGCGACTCCTCGTAAGAAACCAAAAATTAATTTGTATAATATACTGGCTCTGTTAAGCTAATAGACTCATAAAATAATAAAAAATTCAATACTTAATTCTTAAGCATTAAAGCTTTCTTTGGGAAAAAATAAGCTGTTTAGACAAAATATTGGTTTTGGTTGCTAGAAGTCTTCCCAGATTTACGAGGTTTAGTGTAGACATCAGGCATGTGTGCACTGTTTCAGGAGAGTAGGTAGATTTACCTAGATGCTGTGGTTCATTTCAACCCTGTCACTGTGGAATGACATGAACATGAAGCTACAAAGTGCTTCTCTACATCTGCTACAGTAGTCACGGACCATGTCCATAAATTATGTAATTCTGCCCAACGTACCTTTACTTTTACTTATGAACGAGAAATTGAATATATACTTGTAATCTTCAAAGGAGTCTGTGAAGATATTCTTGGCATGGATACACCTCTGGAGGGAGACAGAACCAGTTCATCTGGCGAAGAGACAGGTGAGTCTACCAATTTGGAAGGGCCTGATCCCAATCCTGATGACGATATTGAGGAGGATGGCTGGATTGAGATTGTTTATGATGAACCAGTCCGTATTGATGTTGTGAAGGTTAAGGGCTCCGATAATGGCTATGTTGGAACATATGAAATTGAGTATACTACCACAACCTCGGATAATCCAGTGTCAGTTGAAGAAGATGGCATTACCAAGGTAAAAATTTAGAGCATTTAATATATATCATCATCAATATAGAATTCGTATCAAAGAATTAAACAATATGTATTTATTTTAATTGTGTGCCTCCTCCTTTTGAATTTAGGTGTTCATAATGGATGACCCATTGCCAAGGGATATTCCTCTTGATGAAGAACTTAGACATGTTACAAGCATCAAAGTAATCATCACTTCAGTGGTAGAAGACGTCCGTCCTATTATCCACATTGACTTTGTCGGCTGTGATGAACGTAAGTTGAGCAATACAGACTTATTTCCTTATTCTTATTGTTAATTATGCAGCTGGATGTGACGGCCTGGTCTCTGTTAAACTTAATTACTATGACATTGAGAACTACTCCCATCCAGTAAAAAGTTTTTTAAATATATACATAATACATTCAGGTATCACAGTATTAAATATAAATAATTTGTCAATCCATTACTATAAAACAACAAATGAATTAATAAATAAAATCAGAGATTAGCGTCTGAAGATTGCGGTACCCCTCATGAAACAGTCTGTATTTTTCAATTACAAACATTTTGGCCTTATTTCCAATCAGTTGAGTTTACCCAAGATTCCAGGGTGGTACGTAGTGATGCTGTTCTGCGGGCTACCACAGTCATTTCAACCATATATGGATGTGATATGACATCATCATGACCATGTATTGAATGGGCAAATCATGCATATTTGTGATAAAAAAAAAATTATAATTTGTGAAATGTGTTGACAAGTAGTTTTATTATCCATATTCATACTTTGTGTATAAATTAAGTACTGTAAGTTGTTAATTACACTTAAGTATTAGTTTCCAATTGAAATGAAAGTTTCCTCACCATTTTGCAGATTAATAAATAATGATACATGCTTTTTACTTCTTTTCTTCCTGTTGATACATTAGAACTCCATTTTATATACCCAAAATTTTACATTTCCTTGATTCAATCTAATGCTGATTAATAAAAACGAATTGATTTTTTATTATCAATGAACTTTCTTTCACACAAACATGTGAATTGTAAAACTCATTACTGGGCAATGACCTATTTTGCAGTGGCGGTGCTGGGAGGTGGGGGGCCTACAGCTCTCCGGACCGGGGGAGGGCAAGTCAAGGGTGGGCGAGGCCTCACAGACCACAATTCGTCGTTGGGGAGAAAAAAAAGATTATATGTATTTTTTACATATTAATAGACTAAAATTGATTAAATAAGCCTTTGAAACCCCTAAATTGTCATATTTTCGGGGGACTTTCCTCCCGACCACTTTCAAAAGTTTTTTAGAAATGCCCGACCTCGCCCACTTTTTTCTCGTCTGGGACATCAGCCGCCGGGGACATCAGCCACCCCATCAAGGACCTTGGACCCCCGTCTGGGAGATCCCGGCACTGTCACTGCTATTTTGATTACTGTAGCTGTCACGTCGCTCAGTTATTGGTAGTAAATTAGACAGGAAGCGAAAAATACGATACAGAACACTAGGAAATGCTGTCAGAGGTTATACTTGCTTAGACAAATATAGAATTTCATGATGAGCACTCTTTGAACCAAGAATGTATAATCCATTAATATATTAAATAAAAGGGTTTTTTTTTTTTCTCTAAAAGGAGAGACAACCACAACGCTTACTACTGCTTCAACAACAACTCTTTCGACATCGACGTCAACAACAGTACATACGCCAACACCTAGTACTACCATGAGTACCACACCAACATCTGTTACTCCCACAGTTGAACGTAAGTGCTAAATTTTGGTTACTAAGGATTGTAAAGGCCAACTCAGACAGCATCCTAGGATGCATCCCGATGCAATTTGTTGTTGTACTTTAGACACATTGATCACAAAATATAAGTTAAGCTGACCCTAAATTTTCGAGATTCAGAAGAGCTTGGGTAATACCAAGGGGGATATTTTTTTCTGGTGGGCTCATCATATACATCATAAATATAATATTTTCTTCAGGAAATTAAGGCAAAAATAATAATAGTGAAGCCATTAAAACCTAAGTTATAGTATATTTTAAACATACTAATTCTTTGAATAGCTTGAAACAGTCCGATTCATATTGCCATGTACGAACCGTCTCCTAACACTAGTCCTCATTCCCTATTCATTCCACAGCGCTGTGTGGTTTGGTAGACTCAAAGTTGAATAACTATGAAACAGAGAGAACGGTTGACACACTCGAGGATAGTTTAATGAGATCTGCGATCGGTGCTTTGCAACCATGGGCTCCAGATACATCAAGCCCATCTAGCTCTATTACCATCAGTCTTAGTGGACCAGCCACTTTGTCTGAATTAGATTTTGAAACTGCCGGTTACATTGGAACATCTAGTGTTACAATTATGATACAGACAACAGACCAGGCTAACTCCCAGCCAGTCAATGAAGTAGGCACTGACACACAACAGGTGATTTATAAACTTCAACATCTGTCTAATTTTTTGCTGTTTGGTTCATCTGTCTGTTTTTTTGCTGATTGTGTAATTTTTTTTGCTGATTCACTGTACATTACTGCCATTACCACTTTCATACACGTCGTATAGATGGCTCGTTCGGTTTAACCGCCGTCCATGGGACAGTTTCATGCAATGGTTCTAAGAAACCATAATGCGTGATTTCGAATCATGTCTTGTATTGAATTGTTAATTTTTTTAAGACTTTTAATTTTGTGGAAATTATATAATGTAATTATTTAAAAGAAATTCTCTCTTATTATGAGCAGCTCTAAAGGTGGTCGCCTGATTGATTAATTAATTGCCAAGGACTGTACTTACTGCCATTACCTCTAATATGACATGTGGTATAGATGGCGTGGTCGGTTAACGATGTGTTCTGTTGAACCAAATGTCATAAGTTTGAATCGCGTCTTGGTATTTAATTTTAATTTTTTTTCTTTTAATATTTGATTTTTTTTTTATTTTAAGGCATTTTACAAGTGAACATTCTATTTATTTAAATATTTTTATCTTATTAGCTCTTCAATAATTTTTTTTTTTGTGTTAAACAGGTCTAAAAAACCTTAAAATGTTAATTTATACAAAAAAATAAAAAATAAACACTGAGGCGCAATTCGAACTCACGACCTTCAGTTCCTTACAACACAGCATTAACCAACCATGCCATTTATACGACGTGCCCTATTTGTGGTAGTAATTAATGGCAATTATGAAACCGTGCCGAAAAACCCAATAAAATAACTTGCACCACTGTGTACAGTATTTAGGCTTCCTCCATGCATGTTTGAATAGTGTCTACAAAAAGCCTTGTCTGAAAGGTGCATACCCAAGGCGTTAAACACTGATAGATTGATTGAATAATACATCTTTTTTGTATATGTGGCGGTTAGGGTCAATATACTCTATTGCCTATATTATACTGCCCTCATCGGAGCTTTCGAGATTACGAGAACTTGTTTTTCAAAAACTATTTATAGAGGATGACTAAGCCAAGAAAGTTAGCTGATGTTTAAGATAAGATCAGATAAGATAAACTTTATTGTTATACAGAACCATTGGCGTACATGAAATTCCTTTACTGTGAGAAAGTATTACACATATTAATAAATTACATATATTTCTATAGTCTATTGTCTATGTACTTTCTGATTTTTGTCATTTGATGTATTTTGTTGTATGTGTTGCTGGGCCCTGAAGGATAACAATGCTTTTTTGCACTGATCATGTAATCTAGAGTAAAGAAGAAATAAATAAATACAAATATAAGGTCATAAAAGAGTTGTCAAATAAATTTCCAAGAATAAATCCCTCATTAGATAGATTTGATCAAATATTTGTTTTTATATTTGTTTGAAAACTTTGTTACACTGTTCTTGCATACTATTTTTTTTTAACCTAATAATAAAATTTTATATATGCTTGCATTTATACTTACCTCATATTGCTGTACTGTATACATGTATGTACCAAGGAACAGAGTTAACCCACATACTTTACTTAATGCCATCCTCCAATGATTAGTCGAGGAGATGACAGCCTTTCACATTCCATTCCTTCTTGTTCTGTCAGAGCTTGTAATTTAATAATGTTTTTGATGCCAAAAGTGCCAGATTTGTTCTAATGTTGCTCATCCAATGTTTCTGTGGGGTTCCTCTTGATCTCCTACCATGCTTTCAAAAGTAAACACTGATAAAAGTGATTAATTTTTCTTTGAAGGTTTACACTGTTGATTTCTCTGATGGAAGACGAGTAGTTACACTAAACAGCGAAGAGTTAACAGATGTTGTGTCTGTGACAGTGACATTTACCGTTCCAACACAAATTGGCAATGATGCTGTTGTAGGTCTTAACATCATTGGATGTATGGAAAATGGTATGTTTCTCATAAAAAAAAATCTTTTTTAATTCAATTTTCTGGTAAATGATACAATAAACACTAAGGCTCTGTCCACACTATCAAAAAAACTGTTGTATGCCCATATATAGTCATGATGTGCCTATATATGGTCATGATGTGATGTCATCATGACCACAAAAACTGTTGTATGCCCATATATATAGTCATGATGTGCCTATATACGGTCATGATGTGATGTCGTCATGACCACAAAAAACTGTTGTATGCCCATGTATAGTCATGATGTGCCTATATATGGTCATGATGTGATGTCATCATGACCATATTTAGGCCTGTCACATGTTTTTGTCAAATAAGAGTTGATAGTCTTGACAAGTCTTAAGGTTCTGGTTCCAAATCCTATCAAATACCAGAATTTTTTTCAGTGAAAAGGTAGCACAAAAAAAAATAGATAACTGAAATGAATTTTAGTTTTATTGTAGTGTCTGTTAAGTATAGTAGTAATACAATGCTGTTTAAGCCAGATAAGGATAAACAAAAACACAGGACATCCAACTGTATGTTTATGTGCTAACTTGGTCAGAATAGGATTCCACACACTAATGTTGAAACCACCTGCACTGTGTCTCACCTGCAACTTCCACCTTCCACCAGATAGCCCATAAGTCTCTTACTGAGATGTAGGTTATATAACACAATTGGGCCAAGTGGGAAAACATTTTCCCCAGTATTATCAATCCATCAATATATTTATTTATAAATACTAGTTAAAATTAATAATAAAATTTGTTGTGAAAAAACATCTAAGCTCTTATGATTATGTTTGTCTATTTCGTGAATATTTACCTCTATAAACCGACTAATTGTTGGGTGTGATCGTTGCTCGTTGACGACAACAAAGGAATGAGGAGGACGCATGGATGCGAGCGCATTCACATGCTGTGACAATCTGTCGGTTAAATTTTTGTTGTAGGGGTTATCTTTAAGCAGCAGTAGCAATTACAGTAGTCGGTTTATCCAGGTAAGCTAATTCATAGACTACCAACATCACTCTGATTTGCGTATTCTTCAATTTATAGTTGAAAGCACCACTGTGGTAACCACTGCATCTACTACTGCCCCGACTAGCTTCTCAACAATGGTCTCAACCGTGACAACAACGCCACACTCAACTGTTTCAAGATCAACTGTAACCACCACTGGTATAGATATCTAATTATTAAATTTTCCCCTTCACATGATCATGGGTCCCAAGTTTGGAGAAGCCACTTTAGTGAAATCTAAAGAAAACGCTATACAAATTGCAAATTATTATTATTATTTTGCTGTGGGGGCGTTAAGACCCATGACCAGCTTACTAGCTCTGTCCAGATAATATCAAAACTGCTTTGACAAAAGAACTGCTGTGCCCACATGATGTGCCTATATATGGTCATGATGTGATGTCATCATGACCATGTTTAGGCATGTCACATGTCTTGTCAAATTTAATTTAATAGTTTGGACAGGATAGGGAGCATCATGGTCAGTTGACATAAACAAACATATTACACACAACATAGGTTTATGTTAGTTGAGCTTGAATATGGGCATGTACAGTTTAAACTATGAATTGGCTTATTAAAATAAAAGGCACATATTGTTTGAAATTATTTGTAATAAAATTAGGAAAACAATCAAAAGAAAATTTTGTTTGATCACACTACTGAGCTGTTATGGCATGTGCATTTACGTCTTTGTTATTTTGTTGTAAGGTCCATGTTCCGAGATCCTCGAGGATCTTATTTATACAACTCGTCTAACAATCGATGGTCAAGGAGATTTGACTAAATTTGCCTCTACTGAACCATGGCAACCAGAATATTTTGATCCAGCAGTCACCATCTTCTATGATGTTCCAGTCCGTGTGACCGGATTCTTGACCAAAGGTGCAAATGGTGGTGCAATCGGATCCTTCAATGTCCAGTATAAACATGAATTAGATGAAGAATTTATTCAGATCCCGGGACCTGATATTGGAGAAAAGGTACAGTATGTTCATGAGGGTATAAGATAACATCTACATTTATGTAGATTAAGGTCATGTTGTAATATTGTGTACAAATGAGAATTGTACTTTCTGAATCAATTAAGATGCCAAGTATCCTAAGAATATTTACCTCAAAAATGGTAATTTAAATCTAAAATAAGGAATGAGGATGCTAGCATGGTTTTCTTATACACAAATAATAGGCTTTGAAAGCGCTTAATGGCAACATGGTCTCAAAGAACTTTACATTATTACTCCCAGTAATTGGATCAAGCACATACGGAACACATACTCAGCTCCCTGGGGAGGATTCCATAATGTTGCACCTGTAATCAGTGCATTTTGTGTTTGAGCCTGCCAGGTGTACTCCTGGGTGGTAGAGTGCCTAAGGACACAAGCGAAATGCACAGCAAGTGAATGAAAATTAAGGTTGAGAAGCAGAAAGACAACATCTGCATCAAACTGCTCCTAGAATTAGGAGTTTAGAAAGTGCACCCTCTATTGGTACAACCATTGCTGGGGGCCTTTTTTGGGGCTCCCCGCACACATGTAGTAAAATTAAATTAAATACAATATTTACAATTGTAGCAGACAATCATTCTTGAGGGCATCCTAGTTGTTACCATGGTTGTTACAGAATTCGCACGCACAATGCGCAATCTTTACTTAAAAATCTGAGATGTCAAAGTTGAAAATTAATGACTTTTGCATGAGGGCACCCTACACTGCGTTATTAAGAGGGCACCCTACACTGCGTTATTAAGAATTTGAACACAAAAATCATGGAGAATGCTATCTTGTAATTATGAGATCTTTGCTATAAATGGATTGATGTATAATATGCACTTTGAATTTTAAAGCCCCATTCCCGGCAAAATTTCACTAAAAAAAAAAATTTCAGAAAAAATGCATATGCATTACTCTAATTATTATAAACCAGGTAATTTATTTGGCATAAGTTTTAGTTTTACACTAAAAAAGGAGAAAAACAACAAGAAGTAGAGAATATTTTTCATAGGAGATTACCACTTTTTTGACGACTGCTTTGTAACTAGAAAAATTCAGAGGTTGTAGCACGCTCTTGCCAGCTGCTTTTTGTGTATACATACAGTTGAGCGTCCAAGGTAGATGGTGTAATTGTTTTGTGAACCTGCTGCATTCTTCTTTATTTTTATCTCGCTCACCAATGCCATGAACTCTCATGATAACATTTTAATTCATCCCACAATTAATTAAGTTAAAGCATTAATTAATGTGATTTAACTGTCTATGTCACTGATACAATTGTGAGTGATAAATAAAGTGTGCCCTCTTCAATGGAAGATTAGGTTTTGTATTGCAATTTGTGCACTGGGGTCGATCGAGTAGGTCTGAGATATGTTTGTTTAATTTTCAAAATCTCGATCTGAATCACTTTCAAGTTTGAAAAATTTCAATAAAGTATTATGTTTTACAAGTTTCAATACAAACAAGGGAAAATATCATGTCAGCCATTTTTATGTCAGATAACAAAATTCCTAAACTGATTTAAGGCTAGGCCTAGCCTAGCAGTGCTGCTAGGCTAAAGTTTCCGGGGCCTACTATGTTTCTTACCCAGTACATAAGACCTATCGTAAAATCAAAACATTGAAAAATTCATCCCCATTTATTTTTTGTGTGGAACACAAAAAAACCAAATTTGAGTCTTATTTAGCATTTTTTGTTACTAGGAATGTCTAAATATGTTAAACTAGCAATTTCATATTATATTTATAAATCTTTTTTTAATATCTTTAAAAACATATAAAAATCAAATTTTTCTTAAAAAATAAAATTTTGCCAGAATGGGGCTTTGAAAGCATACAGTCTAGTCAGACCTATACTAGTGTTTTCTGTGACTTAATGCAGTCAGGGAAAATTTCTGCCTTTTTGTCGTTTAAAAATGTTTGAATGTATTTTCCAGATCGCATTTAGTAAGGAAATATTGAGAAATGGCATATGCTGTAAGTAAATCTAAGGCTACGTTCAGACTTGGAGATAAGCCCAGCTTGAGTTAAGCTCGGCTTAACGCTAAGCCTGGCTTAACTTTGGCAGGCGTTCAGACTAGCAGGATTAGCCAGGCGGCAAAATTTTCATAATAATGAACCGTAACCAGCAAACATGTTTCAAAACATTGCTCGTGAAACGTACGCTCACTCACAGCGTAAGTAATTGAATGCTGATTGGTCATTTTGTTACCCGAAGTCAATGCAAGACCCCCCCCCGCAACGATTAAAGCACGGCTTAGAAAAGTTAAACACGGTGGCACGCCAGGCCTAGTTACTATAGGAACACAGCCCGGCTTGAGATAAGCCACCTAGTTCAGACTGGCATGTGGATAAACCCGGCGAGTTGAGACGGGTTTATCCACCTAGTCTGAACTAGGCCTAAAAGTATTGGGTTGCACATTTGGTGCAATTCAATACTTAAATTCTGGATATTCAGAATATCACAGATTTAACATAATACACTGATACACATAATTATTTTGACCCTTGCAGATAGCCGTTGTTGATATTTTTATTATTATTTCTATTTTTTAAAGGTCTTTGTTGTTGAACCTCCAGCCACCATGAATACAGAAGTTCAAACTGACCTTGCATCACCGCTTTTGAATGTTAGAATTGTCAAGATATTTATTACAGGGAATATTGGGGAAGGTACTTTCCCCCCACCTGTGATGGTCGAACCGCTTGGGTGTATTGAAGGTTTGTTTTCACTATTTAGTAACTTTTTATTATTAATTTTAATTTCTTATTTCTGTATTGAGCCAATCTCATATGGAAGTAATCTCCTAACCATATTTTTCATTTTAATAGGTCTTACTTTAATTAGAATTGGGAATAATATCCAGAAGAATACTTTAAAGAAAAATAATTTTTTTTTTTTTTTGGTTTAGGTAAAATGTTCAGGACTGTTTTTCTACAAAAATTATTGTAATCAAAACTCTTGATCTCAGTTCTGTTCTTTCATAGATGCAACGGTAGACCTTAACAATTCTACCATACATGACGAATATGAGTTTTTACATACATGCCTGCTATTTTTATCTTGAAATGAAGTATATTCAATGAACCGAAAATGTATTTTTGTTTTTTATTTTTAAAATAAATTCAATGTCGAATTATGAAACGGGCTAGGTTTGGCAGCTTGACCTCTGATGATTAGTGCCTTAAATAATTACAAAATCGTAAAATATAATAATGAGCGATTGTCATTGTTATATAATTTTCGAAACCAATTTGAGCCGCTCTCAGTTTCTTTCCTATTCTTCCTTCATTCTATTTCTTTTTATATTTTTACACTAAACTATTTAAAAACTTTTTAATATTTACAGAAAAGCTTTTGAATTGAAATTTTGAGCAAATAACAGGGGCGGATCCAGAAATGTGCGAAAGAGGGGGCTAAAAGTGGGGCCGTACCGGGGGCCCGATTGAGATAAAACTAACCTAGGGGGTCTGAGGGCAGGCCCCTGCAAAATGTTTGTGTTCTAGATGCCCGGAAATAACTTCTGAGGTGTTTTGGGCTATCAATTTTTTTCTTTTCGTTCTTTCTTTCTTTCTTTATTTTTTTTACCTTCCAAAAGGGAGGCTGGCTTAGCACCCCCTAAATCCGCCCTGAATAATATGAACTGAATTATTAATAATACTAACATATACTTAATATAAATTTTCGAAGATACACTGTGTACATTGTATGCTCTATTAATTGCAATTATTGTCAAAATGCTAAAACATTGATTTGGAATAGTTTTTGTTTTTCTTACTCTGATT